GGGGGGGGGGGGCGTACTCTTGTGTTTTGCATGCCTTAGCTGTTAGAGCATTGACCACGCGTCCTCGAGAGGAGGGAGCATTGTTCCCACAGGACCGATCACCGATGGCCAATCGTTCCTTCCTACTTTCTCAAGGGGGCGGGGGGGGCGTACCCTTGTTGTGCATGCCTTGTTAGACCGGGGGGAGAGTATAAAAGTAGTGCTTAGGTCGTTTGGCGTATCAGGTAGAAGCGCGTCAAGAGGAGCCGTGAGGGACACGTGTGGTGTGGACGGACGGACGGCACACAGGCAGCACAAATGCATAGGTAGCGCATTTAACGCGCCAGGTAGAAAGAAACGCGTCGCAAGGGTAACCAACAAACTCACGTTAGGTTCAAAACCTCCCCTATGTGGTAGCGGTCGTCTTGCCCTGTGTGGTGGTGGTTGTTGCCGGGGATGACGTCATTAGTGGACACAGCCGATACTCAATACTGCCGTACAAGAGAGGCGAGTGGAAGAGGATACCGCTCGAGTAACACAAAGCGAGCCTCTTCTTGGCGGGACGCTACAACTACGCGTCGACCCACTCAATATATTTGTATGTTTAGCGTCGTCGGAAACTGTTGGTAATACGCTTGGTGCCTGTACTGCAGCACGACACAAAGGGCAGCGCTCATCCGTGTTGGTGTGTGTGTGTCTACCTTCGCGATTCCCGGAGAATCGATCGTGCACGTGTCGCGGTCAGTGGTCCATCCAGTGTTCCCGGCGGAGAAAAGCAGCAGATGTTCTTGGTTCTGAGGGCGAGCAGCAGAGAGCGATACATAGCGCCGAAGAAACGCGCGAACACGTAGAAAGGACAAGCAATGGGTTGACTTGATCATATCTCGCCAACACCACAACCAACAAAAAAAAAAAAAAACACAGACATGAAGATAACGGTGAAGGTTCGAGACCGTATCTTATACCCGATTGCTGGACACCCGACCCGCACGTCCTGGCGAAGCATGGCAGCAGGAAGTACTGTACGGCGCTCGATTCCTCAGGTCGCGTGTTATGAAGGGAAGGCGGCCGTCTCCGCGTTAGTCCCATCTCGGTGACGTCTTTCGAGGACGATACCCTCCGTTCAAATGTGTTCCTAAATCAACAGTATATCCCTTCTCCTGAGCCGGTTCTGTCTTAATTCCTCCACAGCGCCAAATTCTTGGCAAGACAGCTGTCAACGCCCATATTTGCTGGCTGTTGTCATAAAAAGTGGTACTGGTACCCCGTTAGGGACAAGAGCACCCCGAGAACGAGCCGCTCAGTGCGGGCAAGCCAATTTTCATGGCGAAACTCGCTTTGCGATGGCGCTCCCGTACAGGGATGTTGTTGATGTAGTTGCTGTTGTTGTTGTTATAAAGAACAACACTTCCGGTCACTACCTTGTACCATCCGCACCAGCCCCACTGACGATGCGGCAGCCTTCCGTGGTGAAAGGCCAACTACCCACTGGGTGCGCTAAACCTTAAGAGAGCACAGCAGGCACGTGTCGAGAGGGCCCGACCCCCCCTCACCAATAGCAAAGCAAGAAAACACTACATGATCCCCACCTTACTCTGCTGCCCTCGGAAAAGTCAAACAGCACAGGCCGTTGAAGCAAAGCCACACGACACCACCTACCTCCCCCTTACACTTAGCGGACTCACCTCGTACATGTACTCATCGTAGAGCACGTCCAGCGCGGTCAGCTGGCACCGCAGGTCGACGCCGTACGAGTTGGAGTGGATCTTGCAGCCGGCGTCCGCACAGGTCTCCCACAGGCCGTTCCCGGCAAGGTCGCCGTAGCTGTAGTCCCCGTAGAAGACATCGATCGCCGCGATCTTGGCGCCCTGGGCCATGCCGCCGTGCTCCGACAGGGTGTCCGCGGTGTCGTCCGGGAGGCACTGGTCGCCGGAGCAGCCGAACGCGGGACACAGGCGGTTGATGTCCTCCCCGTAGTCCGCCTCGCTGGAGCCGGTGCTCGACTCGGTGATGCAGCCCCCGGCGCAGCCGATGACCTCGCTGCCGTCGGCGCACGACACCAGCTCGGCGGGGGAGGAAATCGTCGACCCGGCGACGGTGGTGGCGGCGTGCGTACCGTGGCCTGAGTGGTGGTGGTGTTTTTTTTTTTTTATAGCGGTACAAAAAAAAAAATGAGTCGGACGAGGAGGCAAAAAGCTGGTCGTGAGACAGGCACTTCGACGACGAGGACTTCTCAAAAATTGTAATTGTGGTATGTTCGAAGTAAAACATTCACACCCTGCACAACTACGATACTCGTATTTGTTTGGCTAATCAACTTCTGGCTCAGAATCTTGTCCAACCAGTTGATTCCCATCAACCATTGGCTCAGAATCTCGGATGCTAGTTGGTTCCGTTCAATTACGGGTAGTTGAAGCCTTACCCAACTATTTGTTTAGTTGTTTAGCTATAGTTGTACAAGCGTGGAACTGCCGATTTTTTTTCGTTGCCAGAGAGACAGACAGACAGCCAGAGACAGAGAGAGAGAGATACAGAGAGAGAGAGGTAGACAAATAAAGAACGAGAGAGATACAGAGAGACAGCCAGAGAGAGAGTGAGAGTGAAACGGGAGGCGTTACGGGCAGCAGCTACACATAGCAACAGCCATCTTCATCGATTTCGCGGTTTTTCCATGTGTTGGTCTTCATTTTCCAAATCTCAATCGCTGTGTTGATCAAATCTCGATCGATTGACAGGAGATACAGGGTGGGGGGTGCTCATGTGTTGATGACTCATGTAACTTGATGTAGACGTAGTGATAGTGATAGGGTTCGTTTTACCGCGAAGACTCGCTCTGGGCTGGTCGCGAGCATCGCCGTGTCAGCGCGTACACACGACCTTGCGAACCTCCCATTTATCATACACGCAAACATTGTTTTCTTCTCTGTATGTTGTTGTTGTTGTTGTTGTCTTCACATTGAAGAAACCGTTCCGATCTCTCTAGTACACACAGACAATGTTTTTTTCTTAATGCTGTTGTCTTCATATTAAAAAAAAACGGTTCAATCTCTCTAGGTTTAATAGAACACAACAAACCCATCTCTATCCATAGATACGGGTCAAGGTACATTAGCAATCAACTCTCGGGGAGTGATTTACCTAAGTCGTCGTCGCTTACGAACGAGTCAGCAGACACGAACGGCATGCCGGAGCTGGAGCCGTCTCCCGTATCCGGGTTGATGAGATCGATGTACTGGATGACCTGATAAACGCATGGGCGCGCAGCACCACAAGCGGGCAACACAGAGCTTGTTCGTTAGTATGGTTATTGTACCATTGCTAAATAGGATCAGCGTGGTGAGCCGCGACAAGATTCGCTCCAAAAGGTCTGTGCCGTCCACCGTGTTTTGGAGCATCTCATCGACGAGGCCCAGGACGCCCAGCGGGCAAACCTTTTGCGATGTAGCAAAAAAAACGGGCTTGACTTGACTCAGCACGAAACTAACAACACTGAAACCGTGTTGTCCTCCTGACACTTTCCACAGAACCCCTTATATCAGCTCAGGTTTACATCATGTCCTACCCTTGGTGTCCCACCTCTACTCCTCCATACATCCCTCCTAATGGTACAAACCTCGCGTTGCTGGCTGGCTTTGTAAGCAAGTTGCGTTTCATATGAACCCCCTAAATGTGTGTGGTCTCTTTGCCGTTCGATTTCATCTGCCTGCCACGAAACGATGCACCTCGTACCATGAATGCCGCTTCGAACGCTTGAAGAAGTTCAGGAGGGGTACAGCGAGCGGTGCGAAAATATGAAAACATGTACCAATATCTACGCACGTCGGAGCAATATCTTGGTCGTACTCGCACGCCTTCGCCGGAAATAATGTTCCACATTCCTCGCCACCTCTGTACACCTCGAAGATAGATACGAGCTTGATGAATTGGGTTCGGTTCGTCCCGCGAAAGAAGATACCAAACACAACACACCATCAACATAGCAGTCCCCCTAGCGTAGATCGGAAGCAAAATAACCGCCCCATCAGACCATCAGCGTCCGGAGTCCGGATAAATTCCACGAAACCACCCGCGGTGTGCAGCCAACATTGCGACACCCTTCCGAGCGGACGCAGCAGACAAAAAAATGGGGGATGGAGACAGCCCACCTTGCGCCTATCGCTGTCGTAGGAGAAATCGCCGCCGGTGAACTCGGCTTTGAACATGGACCGTGACTCCGAGGAGCTAGTGAACAAGGGATTCGATGAAGCGACGAAGTCGAAGTAGTAGCCGTGCTCGACCTCAGTGCCGTCGCCGTGCTCCAGGAAGCACGTGGTTTCGTTGACGCCGGCATCAATGATCTTGGGTTCCCGATCGGTCACAGTCAGCACAGGTGGTGGTTGGGGGGTGGCAGGGAACGCCCCCGTCAAGTCATGAATCGGCGAGAAAGAAAGAGAGAGGGGCAGAGACAGCCAGCCAGCCAGCCAGCCAGCCAGAGACAGACAGACAGACAGACACATCATGTATGGAGACGGAGACGGAGAGAGGGCGGAGGGGGTGGTGCTAAGTTTTGTGCATGCGGCAAGGTGGCTACACATTGCGAGGTAGGCATGTTCGAGACGGACAGATCGTATATGTACCGCCTTGTACCACAACCGCGGTAGCGTTCGTGAAACCACTTCTGTTTTGGTCCGTTGGAGCCCTCAACTCTGGGCGAGCCTTCGTGGACTCATTACCAAACCTCCCATAAAGCTCCATCAAGCCATTGCACCTGTTGACAAAAAGAAGAGCAAATGACCCTTGGAAAAAACGCAAAAGCGATGGACTATCCCACGCTGCAGTGCAGACCCGTACTCTTTCATGTCTGGACTGCACGAACGACAGGGATCTGATGTCACACACACAGTACGCAGATCCTAATCTTTGTAAGGGGTCCCTCTGGAATGGTCTCATGAGAGCACATCAGTTTCATCAAGGAGGGTGATGATGCTAGATGACAATGCAGTAGCAGCACCAGCCCACAGCGGGGCTGCAAGTTGCCAGCTCAATAGCTCACACAGCGGGCGGTTTCTTTTTAACTCCACGAGACCAGCGAACCCCAACGAAATCCAAAAAGAAAGTAACAAACCTACAAACAACAGCCTTACGATTGTAGTACGTGGTTATGCCGTATACATCCTGACCTCCACACCTGTACGAAAAAATCGAAAATAGTACAAATATTCTGTATCTACCTGGATTACTTCTCCCGACCCGTCCAGACCGGCGTCAGTAAGCGGCGTCGAATCGACACTGGCGCTCTGGATGGTCGCTCGCGCCGCCGCATTGAGGTTGACCTGAGCACCGCAACAGGCAAAAAGGATTCGAGCACGGGAGGGACGGGGGTGAGGGTGGGCGTACACATGTCTTACATGCCTTGGTTGTTAGGCCGTTGACCACGCGTCCTCGAGAGGACGGAGCGTTGTTCCTTCCCGCACGACCGATCTGCGATGGCCAATAGTTCCTTCCTGCTTTGCCAACCTACTGTAGGTGGCAAAAAATACAAGGGGGCCCATGTTGACACCGGTAAAAAAAGGGCTCCTCTGGTGCACAACAAGAACGCCTGCTGTGGAACGGCGCAGTGGTTCGACCGTCGTGCATGTGATAAAAAAGTGTGACGACGACTGCGATAACCAAGCATCCCTCCCTCCCCGAAAAGGGCCGTCTTCCCAAGGATTTCATTACCAGAATAACCTATGAAAAAGAGAGGGGGGGCTCGTATCGCTGTCTTCACCCCTAATGTACCCCCTACTAAAACCAAGGTCACTCTCCTCGCGGACGCTGTTGCCCGCACCCCTGGCGGGGGGCAACAAAATCTCAAGCATTACCGTAAATGTCGGAGGGATGGCACCCCCGTGCTAGCGGGTATTAATAGCATATTTCTCCACAACCAGGGGGGTACCAATGCCGAAAAGGGTAGCAGTTTTGAAACATCTCATCCAGGGCGTTCCTGAGAGGTGTATCGGTTGGTGTTCGCACCCTCCTAGTTGTGGAGAAATACGCTATAATATTACAAACGCTGACACGGGGGTGCCATACCTCAGCCAATCACGGTGTAAAGAAAGAGCGCGTCTCGCTTCTCTCTCCGTGTCTCCCCCCCTCTCACGCACCTTCCTGTTCCACCCGGCGACCTTCAGCACCTCGTGCCTGCTGGCGAGGAAAGACACCAGGCCCATGTAGCACGCCATCCGCAGCTCCGCCGCCTCTTCCTCGCTCGCGCCGCTGACCTCCCGCCCGTCGTACAGCAGGTGGTCCAGGCCTTGGGATGAAGAGAAGGCGCAAGGGGTGTGGCATTCGGCCCCGCGTCGCACATCGACTGCATGTTGGTTCCGAGTGCGCATGTTTCCTCCTACCTACGGTCGGGCATCGCGCGGGCTTTTCTGAACGTGCAATTGCTGCTGCTTCACGGTTTTTAGCGCTTCGCGTCGTCCAAACAAGTTGAACGATTTCAAGGCAAACCTCAACGAATAAAAGCGTGCTCCTATTTAGGGGCATGAGCAGACAGATAGGTCGGTCGATGGGCGACGCCAAGATGCCCTTGGTGATTCATGTTTTGGAGCGGTAGTCTGATGAGGAGACAGCCATGAAGAAGACTGCTGAAAAACAGCGTTGAGCTTCACAAAATGAAAATGCCGTGGAATCAACTCGACCAAGAACAACACTACCGACAAAAGGAACGGACAGAAGAGGAGGAAGTCACGGCGGTCAAGTCTGAGCAAAATCATATATACTGTCTTGCACATGTAGATCGGATTACGGATTATTTGTTGCAACTTCGCGCGACCGCCCAACTAACTTGAGCGATTCCAAGGCAAAGAGGTGTCAATCAACGGCCGACCTGTCAGTTACTTTGGCAAGCCAACGAGGACCTGTGCTGCAGAATGAACCGGCCCGCACTCAAGAACTTGGAGGTTCAAAATTTCCAATATGAAAGAACTTGACTAAAGAACAGGTGGTCAGTCAAGAAGCCTACTGTATGCATACACTAAAACGTAGATACCGCCGTACATGCACATGTAGGTTGAATAAGGTATCACACACCCCTGGACCGATTTTCAAAGAAAGCTCAATGACTCCACGACGAAGAGGATGCCGAAAAACTCACTCTCCCCCCTCCAAGAAAAATATTGACATTGTAGTTCAAGCTACTACAGGTGGCGCGTGGGAGCAACGGAACAAGTGGGACGTTTTTATACTCGCCCCCCCGCAGCTTCCCCTTGTTTGTGGTATGCCTTGGGGCATATCGCACGGTCTTGTTTCTTGTAACGTTTCTTACGGTGTCGCCGAGAGATTGAGCTGCCTTGTTTTCTTAGTCGTGTTTTCCAGGTAGCTTCGTTATTACTTAGTATTACTGTGGACCAACAACGACAACAACCCGTAATCGATTTAGTTATTATTTCTGTATGCATAATGTACACATGGACAAAAGAATCGGGCCAATTGTAGTAGTCAAACAACAGGGTGTTTGCGAAGTGGTCTCCCATTTCAGTCTTGGAAGTTTGAAGGAATTCCGGCCCAAGATTGAATTTTGGTTTCAAAAATAGCTTGCGAAGACCGGAGCGCAATATTTCAGTCTTGAACATGCGGAAATTTCCTAGAACGTTGCGTTCAATACGACGGAGCCCCTTTGCCGACGGCGGCAGACAGATGGTTGAGCCGACTCGGAACACCAATCATATTAAATTCCGAGCTTCCGCTTTCACCCCCAACAAGGCTACTACTACTCCACTATCACTGCACCCTCACCCACTCCCAGTCATGGAGAATACTGATGGAGCAACGTACTAATTCATGAACAGGCGGTTGGCCCAGTTCAGTTACCGGGAGTGCATGGGAAGCGTAGCGCCGCAAAAAGCGGAGGCATGCATGTATGTTTGTACGTACCCCTTCAGCACGCGAACAAGTTGTGATACATATCGCAGTCAGTCGTCGACGGAGTCGATCGTTTCCTGTCAAACAAATCACCACAGCACGGTCCACAGGACGCACGCACGCGCTGCAGCTCCTCACGCCCCCACGCCGCTTGAAGCATCCCCATCTCCATCACCTCCGCCTCCACCACCTGTGCCGCACTCCTGAGATCTATGCCGCCCGCCTCACCGCCTCACCCTCCTCACGCCGCGGCTTGATGTGTCACTTATTATGAGCATGCATGCATGTAGAGCGGCATGCTTCTGTCCACGCATAAACATTTAAGATGAAGCAAAAGTTGCACCATGTCGGCAGCATGCAATGCGCACCGGGTGTGCGGTGCAGCGACGTTTGTCTGACCGTCTGTGGTCTGGCGGCACTGCTGCTGTTTGTAGTTGGTTCGCCATGCATGGTGTCGTCTACGGCGGCCAAGGTGTGTGTGTTTGGGCAGCTCCACGGGATGGTGCGGCGGTGTCGGGAGGACGTCGGGAGTATCTCGGGGTGTGTAGGCCAATCAAAAATTGTTCCTTCAAAGACCAAAATGAGCAAGACTGAATTCAAGCTTTCCTGCGGTCTTTGGGGGCAATTCCATAAAGCAAAAGATTGAATTCCTAAAGATCCATCGGTCTTCGGCGCTTGGGGGGATCAAAAAGACAAAAGACCAAGATGAAACTGAAATTTCAACTTCGCAAACACCGTAACTGCTGCTGTTGCAAACCCGAGCAAACTGCGGGAGGAGCTGTTTTTCAGGTGATGATGCATTGGATGATGGGACCATTTCCCAACTGCACGTGTCGGAATGTTGTCAACGTGAACGTCCAAACGAATCAGCACAACACCCCAACGGACGCAAACATACAAGAGCAAAAACCTACCAAAACGCATTCGCTGGTAGGCTCTGACACATAACGGGCGTGTTGGGCACTCGGTAAATAATCATGATATGATTGCTGCACGCACAAGGCGACGTACAGAGAGGACTCGTCGGAGAAACAGGCAGCGCACACCAAAGAGACTTCAATTAGCTTGTATCTCGAGCGGGTAGTCTTTCTGTTGTCGTGGGTATTGAAGTACAGCACTCCATATGCACCTCAGACAAAAGCTTGTTCTGGCATAAGGAGGCCGTGCTTTTCTCTCTCTCTCTCTTTCTCTCTCGTCTTCTCTACAGCACACTGAGGGCGTCACTATCCACCACACAGAGTAGTCATCGTGCTTGTCGCACAACCACAAGTACTGCTGTCGTGTCTTGGCGTCAACAATGGTTGGGATTTTTCCCACACCAGAAAGCAATACATCTTTATCCCCTGGTCCCATTCTCCCATGCATTAAAAAGAAATAATAATAATAAAAGGGAAAAGTAAATACAGTACAGACACAGAAAGACTACCCATTCGAGATAATACTGCAACTCGGTACTTGTAAACGAACGGAATAAATGGCGTGGTCGCAAGCTATTCCAGAACAACGAGTGGTGATAAGCGATACCCCAATTTAGCAACATGATCCGCTCGCTGCTGCCGCTGGGAGCATGTCAAGCGGCTGGAAAGCTGCTTGCAGGAACGTCGGGAATATAAAAACGATCCGAAAATCTACATCACTTCCGGTGTGTCCTGTCCGGTTCGGGAAACGAACAGAATTGAGAAAAGCTCCACAAATTTGTTGCGCGGAGTTGATCGATCAAGAGTACTACATAGTTCAAGGGCTCAACACGAGCAGCAGGAGAGGCATGATACAACAGCAGCAGTATGCGTACCACTACTACCAAGCATATCCACATATCCACGCTGCGCTCGTCCCTGGGTATTTTTTCTTCTTTTTTCGTATGAGGAACACACGGGGCGGCAAATTGAGAGGCAAAACCAGAGAAAGAGGCGAAGGAGAGCGAGGTAGGAACAAACGCTTCCGGCCAAACTCACCAGCTACGAGCAGCACATCGTTTGCGGCGTGATGGACAACAACTTGCTCCCACCCGCACACTTGGCTCGGAGTCTCCTGCTCCGACTCGCTCCGTTCGTTCACCAGCGTGGCCGCCCTGCTCCACTCACGCCCGCGGAGGGCCCCCGCCGCGCTGAACAGGTGATCGCCGCCCTTCATGACAAGATCAGACCAACAGGTGATGGCGTGAAGATCCAGCGAGGGCGAAGACAGGCTCTTTAGCAACTCTTGGATGAATTCATGAGCCTTGGCATCACCACCGCTGTGCGAGGGCAGGGTCCCCGGCGAGAGCTCGACCATGAGACCGTGGGCGCTGTCCACCTGCATCGACGCGCCGTGCGTCGTTGACAGCCGCCCGGCAGAACAATCGCTGGTTGTTGTTGCTGCGTCACGGGCTGCTGCTGGGCCGTCGCAGCTGCCGTGGTCAAGGAGGCCGGGCGCAATCTTGAGGGCAGCCGGGAACGCTCCGAAGGTAGTGAAGTCTTCCCACGACGAGAGCTGGGCTGCCTCTGCTGGCGAGGCGGTCACCATGAAGCACGCGCCATGAGTCGCTGTCGACGAGACAGGCTTCACCGCGCGCGCGCCAAGGAAGCCCTCGAGCTTCCTGTAGGCGTGCCTGCCCTCGCCGTGCTCGACGCACGAGAGATAGGGAGAGCTTCTGCCCTGCCTGTCCCCGGCCTGCCAGGCGGACGCAAACGCAAAGGCGGCCTCGCTGTCGAAGTCCGCCCCGGCCGTGGTAAGCAGCGTCTGCTCGAAGAAGCCCAGCGAGGGAACCTGGCTCGCTCCGCTTACCGTTGAAATCAACAAGACCGAAGTCGCCGCTCCCCGAAAGGTGACACGCATGATGTTCCTCGATCCCTCTCTACTCTCTACTGCTGTGTGTATTTTCTTGTGTGAGAGAGGCAACTACCCTCCACCGCACGGCTGACGGTGTCTGCTGCGACTTCGGTGTGCCCCCAGGGGGATGGTTTCACGGCCAGGGCAAGGCAGAGGGTGTTTTCTGTGTGTAACAGGTGCAGGGTGGAGAAAGCTGTAGTGGAGGAACCGAGAGAAAAAAAGAACTATTTTCTTTTGCGCAAGATTACAATTTTGGAATGCAGTTGCAGCCGCCGCAGCCGTCGCTTCATCGGTTCCTTTTACAGTCAGAAGGTCAAGAACACTTCCGGGATAACATTGACGGTACGCAACAACAATTCTTTAACAGGTGATGCCCTGCTGCTGTAGACGAGACCACCTGTCTGTCTGTGTTGTTGTTGTTGTTGTCTTCACATTAAAAACCGTTCCGATCTCTCTCTACCCAGTTCCTTCGTATGTCCGTACTGATCCAACACTCGACGCGGTCGATTCCCGTGGTCACAGGTTAACTTACCCTAAAAAGGTACACTCAAATAAACTGCCCCCGAGGGGTCCGCAAGTCAAGCCCAGACTAGTCTGTACAGAAGTCTGTCCGTGCCTTCTTGAGGGGGCTTCGGTCTACCGTTTCTTCAGGAAGATTCCTTAAAGTTTCCTTGCCGAACGTACAATATTATACTCAATACTACCTTGTAATGCACACATAAAGTAGAGACGGATAGCTGAGGATGCCAGCTCGAGGATGCTGTATACTGCTGTGGTAATAATACTCGGATTGGTTCCTCAACCGTGGAGGAGAATTAGCGATGCACGCCATCCAACAGCAACAACAACAGCAACAACAGCTCTCTTTTCCGCAGCGAACGCCATTGATGTCGGCTCTTGTACAAGGATATTTTGTCTTTCTGTGTTTGTTTGTATTTTACCTTTCCAGATAATTTTGTTTTGCTACGGTGAATGAACAGCTCCCCGGGCAACCTTTTGCCCCGTTGCCCCGGGTGGTATTTTTTAGTTATCGATCCATGCAACATACCATATGGTATGGTACTATGTACTGTAGTCTACATGAAGCGTCGTGATGGAGTCCCCATCCCAGAGACGACTCTTTTCTCGAGCAAATTGCCCACAGCACGGAGGCGCAACTTGCAACTTGCCACTCACTGATCTGATGTCGACAACACTTTATTTAGTACTAATGACATAATAACCAACTGCGCCGTGGGCCTTCCCAAGCGAGAGAGAGAGAGAGAGAGATGAGAGCATCAGTTCAACCAAATCAAGCACGCAGCACACAACTACGTACTATCTAGCACTTGTTTGTGTACGGTGCCACGGCCGGTGCGCCGAGAGTACATAGAGCACGTTTGGAGTCTCTTGCTTGCCCTATTGGCTAATTAGACGGTAATGCTCATTGGGTACTGGTGTAAGACTTCATGATACGCCTGGCCTTCACCACCAGTGCTTCCTGCAACACCCTGAGAGGTGGGTTGCCTTGAATGAACGGCTGCATGTGGGTGGCTCCTATCCGAGAAAAACGAATAAAGTCGCCGAGTTAATTTTGCCTTCACACAACCTACAAGACCATCAACCTACAACACCGTCCGTTCAAGGGATCAGCCCTCCGTGCCAAAAGTTTCAGAATTAGCGAACTTGAACGAAGCGACACTGGTGGCCAGCGGTCAGGTTGTGAGCACAAGTGTAGGTTGGACACCGATTGCAACCTGTGGGATATCAGGAAGATGCACGCCGGTCTGCAGCGAATCCCGCATCTCGTGTTGTGTCGTCAACCCAACTAGCACGGCGGGTTGGCAGCACAGTCTATAGACAAACAACGTGAAGGTCGTTCCGGACCTACCTCCCCCCAACCTTCACACGGGTAGGTATAGGTTGTGATATATGCCTAACTAACCTGCTCTGGCCACCACCAACAGCAGTGGACTGCTGATTGTTCCCAGGCGAATTATTACGCCGTCGTGGCCGACGAAAAGGTGGGGACTCTACGAACAACGAAAATCTTTCAATGCATCGGGCGGGTATTCCCGACCAACACCATCCTAAAAACAAAATCTCACCGTTCGTTCATTGTTTGTGCGATACTCGGCACGTAAGTGGGCAAGGCGAGCAAAGTTGCTCTCGGGTTACTCCTTTGTTTCACGTTCGGGTTGGGATCGCCGCTTCATCCCCCCGCTACTTCTGCTCACAACTGATTACGGTTGTGGGCGCATTCTTCCGTCAAGTCTCATAATGGATGGTACGGTTGTGGGCGCATTCTTCTGTCGAGTCTCATGATGGGCATTTATTTGTGCTCGCTGTGCGCAACAACGTTCGTTTGTTTCTTGACCGCCTTTTTCAAGCCGACCACCACGGCATCATCTACTTGCTTAATCATCAATGCTTTCATCACCACCGGCCGAGAATGCACGCTCTACCGTCCATCAACGCTGATCAGTTGGCATGCAGACTGCATGGTGGCAGGGCTGTGACACCATTGAAATCGAGCCGTCATACAATCAACGAACGCGAAAAAATAGGGGCTATGAGGAAGCAGATCATCATGGACCCTTCCGCAAGGAAAGTAGTACGCAGGTCACGAAACCGCGTGAGAGTTCCCGCCTCCCCTCTGGAAAGCAGAGGAGGGTCCTCATACCCGTGAGATCGACCAATCAAACAAGGAGAAAAGAATGAACCTCATAGAAAAACGAGCTCAGGAGCCGACCCCGTGGCTGCCGCTACGCCAGGACTATCGGCCAATAATAGTGCAGCATCAACGAGGATGACCAATAGGAAAATCTCGGGCATTTCGATACGAAATCGAACAACAAGATTGGTCCCGTTCAATGAGATGGGTCGTCGAGGCCGTCGAAGGCTTCCAGGCCCTTTTCTCCGCCGTGACGTGCTACGAGCGCCACCTTCAGCACCTCCTTGATCTGGTCGCGAAGCGCCAGAGCATCGAAGCGGGAGGATAGAAGCACGTCGTCGGAAGCCCCGCACCAGTCCAGCATGTGTCGGAACACGCGATCTCGTACCCGGAAGTCCATGTACTGCGACGCGACTGCCAATGACGGCTCGAGGTGGTACACCTAATGATCACAGCAGTTGAAATGAAAAAGTGGGCGCGAGGTTGTTGTTCTTGTCTTCACTTTAACCAACCGTTCCGATCTCCCTATCCATACTGACCTGATCTAATTTTTGACGCGGTCGATTCCCGTGGTCACAGGCTAACTTACCCTGAAAAATGTATACTCGAATAAAAAAGCGAGGTACGTTGGCTATTTGCCGTTTGATCATCCCGTACAGCCATCCCAGCTGGCAACCATCGATATTCTGCATAAATCTTTCGTCAGATCCACCAGTTATTGGTCGGTAACACTGCTGTTTGAGTTCTCTCTTACAACCATGTATCAAATGTTCACAATTCAATTTGGCACGACTATTCACCAGTGGTGAATCGATTGAATTGTTTCCTGTCGCGGCAAGCATTGACGCAGGGCATGACTTGTCTATTTACAGCCGTTGACGCCAGCTTATGTGCTATGAGATATGAAGGGATTGACGTGGTCCACAGCAATCGTTGCGACAGAAGACATTGGCTGCATCCAAACGCAACAGCAGCTGGTGTGTGTGAGCATCCACGTTCAGCAGTCCTGGCAACCTACAAAGGACAACACAAGGGTTCGAAGTAGCAAGGTTTTTCATGTGCGAACTGTAGCAGCAAGGAACAGGGCCCAACCAACAGCAGCAGCACGCTGTTTTATTGGTGCCAGACGCCCGCGAAGAAACCACGGGCTCCGATGCTGATGTGTTTACTACTTTACATTGATATTGTAAGCGTTTGGTGTTTCGCGTTTGGTGCCAAACGCGGGATGAAACATCTCACTCAGCTACATATCAGTGCCCGGGATGAAACCGACAACAATTCTGAACGGACCACATCCCGACAACCGAATCGAAGCTCATTGCCGTGCGTACCGAATATTCACCACTCCCCATCTCGTTGCGTCATACGTCTAACAGTGTGTCTGGAGATAGCACGGGTATGTTCCACACATGCATACAAACCACACCCACAAACGAGGCCTTCGCTTGCCCACATAGATCTATACCTGGTGCCAATGACGAGGCGGTATAAGAACAAGTTCCCCCGCCTCCTGTACTCCACTGACAGCGTGCTGCATGACCTCTTGCCCCTCTCCCGCTGTCGGCCAAGACGCCGTGGCTGCTCCGTGCTGGTAGAGGTCCACGTTGCTCTGCCATCCCGCCGAGACGTTGTGGGAGCCGAAGGCATTCGGGGCCAAGCGGTAGGTTCCAAGAGAGGAATCCAGGTCGGCCAATGGAGGCAGGAACGTCCATAGCTTCCGGCCCTCGAGAAGAACGTTCCAGCCCATCCACTCCATGGGGTCGCTGTGGAGAAACGAGCGCGCGCCCACGCCGCCCACGATGGTACACAGGTTTTGGGGCCTGACGGAAGGAGGGAAAAGCTGAAACTCGTCTGTCCCAAGGAGGTCCTGCGGCTTCTCGAGCAGGGCACCGAGTTCGGGGCGAGCTTGTGGAAAGTCGAGGAGGTGCTCGTCCAGCAGATACCTGACGCACAAGGCGAACGACAGTTTTGGTGCGTGCGTGGTGGCATGATGGCGGAACGGAGAGGTCTCCTCGCACAAGCCAGGGGTGTCCACTATTGTTTGCTGGTGGGAGTGCGCGGGAAACGTTGGTTGCTTCTGCTCGTAGGAATTTCGGGTGGAGCCCGGGTCTCGCTTGGAGTATAACGTGCGATCTCCAGCCTTTCCAAAACCATCGGCACAGGGCAGAAGAAAGTAATTCGGCCTTGAATGGAAGCTCATCGGTGGCCTAGCCTATGGTGTGCATACGCTACTAGCAAACGCCTGCTCACCAGCTCTCGTTGTGAGTGCTCTCGTCCTGTAGGCGTTTCACAAAGTCCATGAGGCTTGCCTCGAACACCTCGCTGCGACCGCTCTCGTTGTCGCGTATTTGAAAAGCACAAGTTTCCTCCCCCAAGTCTTGCAGCAGCCCGTCGCACCACGACTCACAGTCCGGCGAGGAAAGCACCCCTGTCAAGATGCACGGCCGGGAGAAGTCGACAAGGTCGGCCACTTGCGCTCGGGAGAGGCCGGTCACGTCTATTCGCGGTAACGAGGCCGGGACATCGCCATCATGATCTACTGTTCTCGAAGAAGCGTGACCATCAGCACTCGATGCGGAGAGTGTGCCTGGTCGAGGCCTTCTCTTCGCGTGCGAGCTAAAAACGGCTCGGCGTCGTCTCCTTGCCCCACCGGCGACTGCAGCAGCGGCAGCCGCAGGAGGAGGAGCACAAGCCTGAAACCGTGTCGGGCTCTTCCCCTGTGGCAATATGTTGAAGGCCCGGGTTTCCACAAGGGTCATAAGCGGTAACCCTACGCCTAGCCACAGCATGGCCTTCAAGCCTGCTTTGTGGGCGCTGGTACGTGCCGTGCAGGGAAAAATAGGGTACACCACTGGTACACCGCAGCGGTCGCGGGACTGTTGTGAACTTGATTGCGTGGCAAAACGCCTCCACGCGTTCATTTTTGGATTTCTCTTTTCACCCCCTGTTCGAGCGGTGAGCGGCCGTGCGGCCGTGCATGCACATCTGAATTTTCTCCACATCCCCATTAGAAGCTGAACATGCTGGGCGTCCATCTACAGTATTCCATACTGCGCTTGCGCACATTGTAGAAAGAGCCGGTGCGACTACTGCTTCATGCGCATAGAAAACGACGGACAAGGTATCTCGGCGCGCGAGTGTAACACGATTTGTATGCGGTTGTATGCATGAGAGGCCTCCTTCTCTGCGCTTTCGCCTCACGCCAACAGCTTAGAGCATCGGTACGATCGCGCTGCCGTTAACATAGACCACATCAGCCAATGTGGGTTTCCTCACAGAAACAAAGATGATGCTGTTGCCTATAGTCCTAAAAAAAAAACACGTCTGACATCTGACCAGCAACTCCGCTTCGACACTTCGGAGGCAAAGAAACGAGCTTCCATGGCCAAAGGTCAACCTCTCAAAAGACATAAAATGCAGCCTATAGGAGCAAGGGGCAAGGGAACCCCAAACCACTGGAATAGGGTCGATTCCCCCACGCTGGAGCTGAACCACAAAAATACATTTCTCACATCTCTAGTAGTGTACCGCGAAGCCGACGGGGACATGCTGATCGCCGCGTCTCGGTTGGCACTGCCGGCCATCGTTACGAACAAAGCCTTCTATTTTTGCTGGATACTGCAAACCTCTCTTCAAGGCACCTTGTACCACATGGCATACCCTTTCCCAACATAGTCATAATACAAAACGCCCCAAAGACTAGAGAAAAGAGAAGTCCATTAGTGCTTCGAAATCGCTCGAAGAGGCACGCCTCCTGTCATGACACTACCTGCCGCCCAGCTGCTGCTGCTGCGACTGGTGTCTGCTGCCGCCGCACGCGGCGTTTTAGGACAATCAGACTACATACATGTGCACGTTGTTCCATGCTAAGCTCCCCCTCTGCAACAAAGGCGTGGGAAGATCTCGAAAGAAAACAAGAGAACTCGGCGAGATCAACGGGCGGTATCCGATCCCACGAGGGGCATCGAGACCCCACACACGACATGAGACGACCACAGAAGATGCCCCAGCTCCTCCCAGCAGCAACAATCAAAACAAGAAAAGCCGGCCGTTGCAACGTCAACTCTAGATGAACACTGCTGTATGAGACAAGTAGGCTAAGTCGCGGCAAAATTCGATTCCCAACATCAAAACAAACAATTCAGCAGATTTGGAGGGGGGGTTCCTACACCGGCGCTTTCAGCCGCCCGCCTGAAGCTCCAAAACCTGGGCCTGCAACGCCGCGATGCGCTCAGCCGACTGAGCGCGCGCGGTTGCGGCGGCCTCTTCGAGAGCCTGTCACATGCCAACGTCACCACACCACGGCAAAACGGGATGAAAAGCAGATCTGTCAGCGAAACGCGAAACAAACCGGCTAGATAATCAGACAACTTACCGCACCATGAGCATGAGCGCATGGTCATATCAGCATGAAAGCGCACACGTAAGCGCGACAAGAGGGGAGTGCAGGGGGTGTAGTCCGAGTCGAAACCACTTCATGCAGTGCCAACACGAGCATCCGATTTCGTTGGCTTGGGGTTCGCAACCAAACACTGATTTGCTGCACGGTGTACCTTAGTCTGAAACGGTGGACCCCTAGGCAGAGAAAGCAAACATGTCATCTTTCGTCGGCAGCAAGCAACGAGTCGGGTTGATTCGTCCCGTTCGGCTACTTCGAAGCAAAGTCTCCACTTAACGCCACGCAGCACGTAGCCATGTACGAGCACACGAGGGAAAATTGCTCGCAAAGTGTTCAGCTGCTGGCCGCGTTTCAACTACCAGAAATTTGTGCGCAAAAATTGTTGGGCAAAAATAAACATCTCACCGCTCTATGTTGGTCACTCAGCAAGTGTGAGCCGGCGATTCAGTCCCAAAAACTGCGCGATGGGGTTGCGGACCCATGTTTGGAAGGGGGGAAGTTTGGAGTGCTAGCGGGGTAACTAGTCGTCCGCTAGACTGCCGTTGGCCCCCTTACACCACACCCTCAATAGCACCCGGGCACAAGATGAAACAGACAGAGACTTAATATCACATCTCACACAAAAAAAAGCTTTGTTCAACCTCACATTCTGCTTGTCGCTGGAAGCCTTGACCATATATTCCTGGGTGAAGCGCCTGAGTTCATCCGCCTCAGCGGCTAGCGTTAGCACGTCCTTCTCCAACTTCGCGACCTGCGCCTTACCGGCCGCCCCGGCATCGCCGCTCCTGTTGTGGTTGTTTAGAAAATGACCAGCTCAGAGAGAAAAACACAAAATCCGTGCGACTGAATAGCCAGGCGTCCACAGACAAGCGGCCAGGCCGACAAAAAAAAGCTGCTACGAAGCATGTTACAGCCTAACCACCTAGACAAAAAACAAGAATGACGTTTCTTAAGGAGACACACCACTCCAAGTAGAACAAAAGTTGGCGTGCCGAACATGGAGTGTTTCATAATGTTGATCCGTGGTTGAGTGACCGTAGACTGGCAGGCCAGACCACAGCGAAAGGAGGCTCACTTACCGGCTCATGTAGCCGAGGAAGCTTTCCTGCAGGCTCTCCCGCAGCTGCTCCTCCGCCGCAAGCCTCACCTTTGACCTGACGAGAAAACGCGCGGGCAAGAATGGGACCGAACGTCACGGCAAGAGGCGGCGCGGGCGGCATGCCCAGTCGTTACGGCGACCGGGACCAAAAAAGAAAGGGCGAAAAAGAGTACACAGCGATAACGCCTGGTCTGCGTCTGTGCCCTGGGTGCTGGTAGAGGCCCCGTAGAGCCACGGAGCTCCATCGGACTGCATGAGCCATCGACGAGCTAATAGTGACGACTCCAAGATACTGCCCGATAAACGCGCAAGCACTTCCACCACCGAGCTAGCAGTCAGCGCTCGTCACTTGTATATACGTGTAGAACAATGTACAGCACATGGCTCAGCAAATCTGCTTTGTCTCCAGATCCACAAAGACATCATTCACCTGGACAGCTCCGCTTCTAGCACAGCGTTGGACTGCTTGAGTTCGTTGCTCGCCCACAGAGACTTCAAGAGGTAGTCCTGGAAACTTCGTCGGTTTGACACCACCTGCTCGAGACAGGCAGGTGACGTCAGAAGGTGGACTATCATGGATGGCATAGGAAGGTCCCTTCAAAACTTGGCAGCAGGACAAGCGAACAGACGTAAACTCGAGATGGGTTTTCCCATGTTTGATGTTTTGAAACAGCGAGGGACCGAACCATATTCTAAGGCGCACACGACGCAACACAACAGGAAGGGGCGGGTCATGGACGGATGCATTGGGCTACCAAAACATTCTAAGGCGCACACGATGCAACACAACAGGACGGGGCGGGTCATGGACGGATGAGTGAGCTACCAAAAATAAAGCATGGACAACAGTTACGTCAACAACCTTTCTCACCCCCGACCAACGCACACAGAGAGGCACCAGCACCAGCAACGATACACAGCCGCTCATCATACCTACAACCCTCTCGCTATTCTTGATCTCACCATGCTCCTGAGCTCCGCAACATCGTCCGTCAAAAACTCGTCCGCTAGGGGGTCATCGCCCGCACCGCCGCTCTCGGCAGAAGCCTCATCAGCAGCAGCCGCACTGGCGGCGGCGTCCAAGCCGCCGGCCGTGGCAAACCCAGCCGCCGCCCCCGCGACCGCGATCGCTCCCGCATCCGCCCCCGCCACGCGCTCCTTCTCCTCGCTCCCCCACCGGGCCTCCCAGCCCGGACGCCCCGATCGGGCGGCGTAGGCAGGGTGCGAGTCCTCCGCGTCCGGCAACGCCGTTTTCCCGCTAGCTGTGGGAGCACCGGCGGTAGAAGTCGCCGCAATCATCCTCGCCGGTTCCTCGGAGCCCCACCTGGCCTCCCACCCGGGCCTCTGTGCACGAGCTGCAACCAAACGGCACGTACAAGGGACACAATTGACAGGATAGGCAAGAACGAGTACAAGCGTCGGAGTGGTGTGCGGGCCAGGCAGGAGAGAGGTCAGGGGCGAAGGTGGTGGCTTATCATACACCACCTATAGTAGCTCCTCCCACACGGGCCTCTGTGCCAGGGCTAAGAAAGGAACCGGGGGGTTACGTACGGTGCACACACACGCACGGGGAGTGGTGCCACAAGACAAAAGACACTAAAGAAACGAAAGGAGGGCTCGGAGTTGGTTAGGGAATGGCGGAAGCGGAGAAAGGACCTGGGGCGCGCACAAGAGTGGTATGTGCCACGTGTGTTTGCGGGGTTGGTGAACAAGCGGGGGATCATGTACCACGGAAAAGTAACCGGAATAAGTACTAACGGTTGGTATGTCCCACCTCGTCGCGCACGGGACGAACAGGACTTCACGGGTACCCTTGGCCTTGGACTCATACCTCCGAAACGCGGACAACGTCCTCTCTCAATTCGGCGCGCCCACATCGCCTTTGCTCACCTGCGTAGGCCGGGTGAACATCTGCCGGCGGGGAGGCTGCGGTGCTCTGTGCCTGAGCGCTAGCCGCGGGCCCGGGGGGCGTAGGAGTTGCCGTCGCCGCAGTCATCCTGGCCGGTTCCTCGGACCCCCACCTTTCCTCCCAACCGGGGCGCTGCGTACGAGCTGCAACACACGGCACAGGACAGAGGCACGGGTTGAGACGGGATAGACACAGCGGAGTCAAGCAGCGTTGTACATAGGAGTCCATACGTCAGAGTTGTACGCGGGCCGTGAAGGTCTGGGGGTAAACCGGCAAACATGATGCCTTCATAATCTACCTCCTTTAGTTTAACACCTCACCCAGTGCGTCGAACAACAACGAAAAGCCCGGGAGAAGAATAGGCGGTCGGGCAGTGAAGCTATCAAGGGCCTGACAGCGGAATTGCCCTCCTCTTATTGTAGAAATATACAAAACATGTTTGAATACACCATTTTCTCCCGACCATATATTTGTATATTTGCCTTTCCCCCTCCCAATCACCCTTCCGCAGAATCTGCGCCCGACCCCCCCCCCCCTCCGGCTTGCCTGCGTAGGCCGGGTGCACATCTGCTGGGGCCGCCGGTGTGCCCAGAGCCTGCGTGGCAACCTCGGCCGGGGCTGACGTAGAGCCTGCCCCTGCCACAGTCATGGTCTTTCGGGCCGGCTCCTCCGCTCCCCACCGTTCCTCCCACCCAGGGCGCTGCGTACGAGCTGCCACAAGCGGCATAAAAAAGGGGTACAGACACGAGTTGAGACAGAATGGTCAACGAAGCCAAGCAGCTTTGTACCAAGTCCACGTGTCGGATATGTACGCAGGCAATGAAGGAAGGACGTCTGGGGTGAAACCGGCAAACATGATGGCTTCTTCATCATTTACCACCTCAAGTTGAACACCCCACCCAGCGCATCACAAAACAACCAACAAACACGGAAGGCCGCTACGCGATCAGGCAGTGAAGCAAGGGCCTGACAGCGGAATGCTCCTTGTCTTGTTAATAGTCTGATAAGGCTACGTTATGTCTATGAGTGCATTCCCCGCTCAATTAGAGGACACCTGTAACGGTCAGTTAGCTTGTGACCACGGGAATCGACCGAGTCAAGTGTTGTGTCAGTACACGGACAGAAGGTACTGGGCAGAGAGATCCGAACGGCTTATAATGTGAAGACAACCAAACAACAACCTGCCCAATCACCCCTCGTAGAATCCGCACCCGACAGCCCCCCCTCCCCCCCACGAGCTTGCCTGCGTAGGCCGGGTGCACATCTGCTGGGGCCGCCGCCTTCCCCTGCGCCTGCGGGACAACCTCGGCCGACGCCGACGTCGAAGCTGCTGCCATAGTCTTTCGGGCCGGCTCCTCCATTCCCCACCGTTCCTCCCACCCCGGCCGCTGTGCGCGAGCTGCGCGTATGGAAGAAAAGAAGGACGTTCGCCGCAGGAGGGCGGACGAAAAGCAACAAGGACCGGAAAGAAGGAAGAGGCAAGTTTGGGAAGGTCGTCTATATCGTCTCGTAGAAGTTGTTTGTGTGAACGTTGTTATCAGGGGGACATGTCACGAGGGATAGAACGGACATCTCGGGGCGAGCTTGCAGCAGGCGGCTGACGACACGTGTGAGAAGAGGTCCGCCTTGCACAATGGAGAACGAAGACGAAAAACGCCACCGTTTCCGGCTCAAACGCAATGGTGCAGCGGAGGTTGCAACCAAGGCACTTCCTTGTCTGGACAGACGAGTCCTCGGAAAAAGACTACCGTAATCGTCGGCGTCATACCCCCCCCCCCCCCCCCCCTTATTTGGGGAAAAGCAGTAAATATTGTTGAGCATGAAGTTGCACGCTCCGTACCCCCCAAACTTCACGCCACATCTCAGCCCACAGAAAACCACACCCGGGGATAACATTTGTAAAGGCCATTTACGGCTGGGGATTGGTATCTTGTGTGGAATACGGCGCTAACAGCCCCCGTGAAGTGTCTCTTCGAGGCGGCACCACGCCCCAGGAAGTGCCTCTTCAAGTTGTTCGTCTCCAAGGGGGGGTACGCATGAAAAACCTCTCTCTCTGTGCTCACCAGCGTAGGCGGGGTGAACCGCTCCGCCGCCAGGCGCACTTGCCGCCGCGACCCTTGACTCCATCGAACTCACGTCCGCCGCCGTAACGGCTGGCGACGCCCGCGCGGGTTCCTCCGCCCCCCATCTAGCCTCCCACCCGGGGCGCGCCGAACGAGCTGAGTTGAGTTCGATGGGGAAAACGTGCCAAAGATTAGACTAGAACAAAAAAACTTCGTTTGATTTCACGAAAGGGGATGCAACATTGGCTTGGTTTATGAGTAAGGAGAAAATACTGTCCGCAATGTAAATTCGTCTAAAATCCGTGGCGGCAACTTGCAACCAAGAAGAAGAGCTGCGACCGAACCGCCCGATGTGGGCACGAGCCACATTTATGTTGGCAAACGCGTACGCATACTGCGTGGTACGGGATTGGATTGTTGCAGCAGAAGCAGCGTTCGCACCCGCGTAGCTGGGGTGCTGCGCGGCGCCCCCAGCAAAGCCCATGGACGCCCCTTGTCCAACGCCCACGAGCACGGGCTCCTCCGCTCGAAACGCCGTAGCTGCTGCAGCTCCCTTGTCGGCATCGGCGGGGGGGGGGAGTGCGGCGAGCTGCGGACGAACGCGGACGTTGGGGGGGTGTACAGCAGCAGAGCAGTGTGCGTAAAACTGGAGAGGTGCCAGGGATGTATATCGGCAGCCGCACAAAGCTTCGGCATTCTCTGACGATGCGGGAATGTGGCGTGTTTACGGAGCGTGCTACCGTTTGTGGGCGCGGTGCGCTGCGGGGAGTTGTCGTGAACAAGCAGTGGTCAACGTCCCGGGCATGTTGATCCGATGAGCATGATCGCTACAGCTGGCGGCACGTTGGTCACACAGGACCGAGCATTAACTCCACGCTAAATAGACGGCAGGCACATGCACCCACAGCAGTCTCTGCTACTACGCAGGGTCCTTCCTCGAGCAAAGAGCATGTCGCCACAAAGGTGGTGTACGTTGTAGCTTACATACATTACCTACCGCTGCAGCAGCGTAGTCTGATGTACAATATTTAGTCGTTACCTTCGACTGGAGGTCCGCTATCTGCTCTTCATAGCCCCGTTGCACCTCCTTCTTGACGGCCTCCATCGCCTGCAGACGATTCTCGTGGGCCTTGGCCATAAACTCCGCCATCTGCCTCTTGTACTCCTCGATCCCGTCATCCTCGCCCTCCGCCGCCCGGAGAGATGGCAGTCCTCGCCTGCGTCTCCGTTGCTGCTGTTGATGCGGCTGGATCGCTGCTGCTGCTGTTGAGGTGCCGCCTGCTGTGTGGAAGCACGCGGCGTTGTTGCCGACTACAACTGCTGTCGGCGGGGTGAAACCATTCACGGCGCAGAAGAGACTGGCCACTGCCGCAGCCAGGACAAGGTCGGTCGAGCGAAGGCTCCCCATGCTTGCGAGACACAGTAGTAGAGGTTGTGTGTGTCTGGGAAGGCTAAGGCTGTGCAGCAATCCTAGGGGCTCCGTGAATCAGGGGTCAGAGTTGGGGTAGCCCCTTGAGAGAGCAGCACACAGCAGCACAGCACTGAGCAGCACAGGGAACACAGGAACGCTTTGTCTGCGGCAACGACCGCCAGGCACGGAGTGGAGAACCCACTTGACGGAGGAGAGAGACCTTATACCTCCGTGTGAGGTTTTTCTTTGGTTGCACTGGCAACTTCTCCACCGGAACCAGCTCGGCTAAGGTACGCGAACATATTCATCTCATACACACACCTTGCACGGAAAGCTCCAACAGCAATCGGTGCGCCTTGCCACGACCACCATGAAGAGGGTATACCGAGAGCAGCCAGGGGTACTGTTTATGCTGGTTGTTGCATGTACGCCGTATAAATAGAGAAAACGGCAGTAATCCAAAGTGCAGGGAGATTGATTTGTACAGCAGTAGTCCAATCGCAAGACGCCACCGAAGAACAAACGCAATCAATTTGTTCCGACCGAAAATGTGCGACTGCCGCAGCTGTAGTCTATGCGGCGATGCTGCTGTAGCTGCTGCCAACACGTTACACACATCTTTTTGCTGCAGCATGCGCACAGCAGTACTCTTGCTTTCATTCTGTTGAGCCATGTGCTCGGCGGGTGCGTAGTTTGCCCCCAGGCTGGAGTCGATAGTTTCGTGTTTGGCGAACTTGCTGTAAACCTCTCCGACAAGGCGATCTCCGCTCCGCTTGACTTAATTATGCGTAACATGCTCGAGAGCAGCTCGCCTGCAAAACCCCCTTGCAAAATCTTCCTTGCCGACACCGTCTGACTTACGAGGCTTGGCTGTTGCTTGCGCAGGCTTCGTTAAACCTGACGGAGAGAGGGGGGAAAGATAAGATAGCACGATGGAGTTCCTGCGGGTGGTGGAGGAGGAGCTCAGAGGTCTTGCGGCAGAGGCCCGTCGACGACACCCGGTCGTGCAGGAGGCGGCGGAAAGGTATGGAGGCGGCGGTTACAATCCCTCCTCGGGTGCTGTCTTGTGTGTGTGTGTGTGTAGAGCTCCTCCGATGTGTGTTATTCCCATCAAGGTTGCTGGGACAGCATTAAGTGTTCTTGAAGCACAAGAAGGAAAGTGTGCTCTGTCATTGGTCCTGTGTGTGTAGAGTTCCTCCGATGTGGTATGTTATTCCCATCAAGGTTGCTGGGGCAGCAGTATCACAGCAGTGTTCTTGAAGCACAAAAAGGAAAGTGTGCTCTGTCATTGGTCCTGTGTGTGTAGAGTTCCTCCGATGTATGTTATTCCCATCAAGGTTGCTGGGGCAGCAGTATCACAGCAGTGTTCTTGAATCACGGGAAGGTAAGTGTGCTCTGTCATTGGTCCTGTGTGTGTGTGGAACACCTCGGATGCATGTTATCCCCACTAAGCTTGCTGGGACAGCAGTATAACGATGTTCTTGAATCATGGAAAGATGGTGTCCTATGCCATCGTCCTGTGTGTGTGTGGAATTCCTCCGATGCATGTTATTCTCATCAAGGTTGTTGGGACAGCAGTAGTGGAAGCGTTAGGAGTAGTGCTATCTGTCGCACACCCGCTCGACTCTCTTCGAGTGTGGTGCCGCAACATGCGCGCGATGTCCGTGTGTCCGGTCCCGTGGCTATTGTGTTGCGAGGGGAAAGCTATCTACCTGCACGAATCGTCATGACAACGTGTTGTCGTGTAAGGTTGGGTAGCGGCTCTTATTCAAGCAGCGCCGTGTCCTGGTGCACCTTTTCCCAACCACACTCCAATTCTCGTTGATCGCAGCGCTAAAGCTTAACGGCGCTAACGTTCGTCTTAGGCAATACACGGCCAAAACCGAATCGGAAAGGCTACCAGCAATGGTTCGTCGTTCCCGAGCCCACGCATTCCTTCACACGCCATGTCGCCCCATCTTATGCCCTGCGAACAATGGCCGTCCCCGTCGCGCGAATGCCTTCTGCGGTGTTCAGGGCCATTCTGAAGCTGAGAAACATGCGCGAGGAGTACGCGGTGGCGCTCAGGCAGCAGCACGAGGGCAATGCTCCGCCGCTCTCCATGTTCCGGTCCCAGGTATCTATCTATGCACTCTACGGCAGCTCTTCTTACCGCTTTCGTTTGCCTTTGTCTGTCGGTATGGCATGGGGAAAGGCAAATCTTGTAGTCGCATTATTTGAAGCCTCCTGCGTGGGAGTCTCTTTAGCTGTTTTTTTTCTACCGACTTAATTGTGGATAGGTTAGCTGTATTCCAAACGGCACTCAGGAATTCATCTCGCGTTCCCCTTTAGCTTGGGGTAAGAACTACTTGTGTTGTCTTAAAGCTACAGCCTAGCACGATGGTGAGGACCTCCTACCACGCGTTCTCCCTTTCAACTACATCGCCGTTGAAACAACAACCGTCCGATACCTCAGGGAACGGCGGCGACGGGATGAGTACGCTCGCTCGCCTCTGGCTTCTCCCACGACCCTCTGTGGTTGTTCTTGTGTGCTAACCGGTTGGCTAGTGGAACGACGTCAGTCTCCGTGCGGTTGAAAACAAAAAATGATTGTAAAGGCCATCACGATCTGGGACTCCGTGAGGGGGCGTATATGTGTGTGTTTTTTTTCGCTGCCGGACCGTTTTACGTCGTTGCTGTTGGCATGCAACCACAACTCCACCTCTCCCCTCCACAACCCTTGAAACGTGGTGTGCTGCAGGACCTTCTCCGACCCTTCCTCTTGGCGTGCAACCATGCCGACGCGTCGCCGCACCTGATGATCATGGCCATGGGCTCCATCCAGTACCTCATCAACCGAGACGCCATCCTGCCGTCCGACGCCCCAAACATTCTTAGGTGTGAACCGACCGCTACAGCAGTGTAGCGATGACCGTGAGGGAGCCGTTGAAATGCAAAGCACAGCTTCCTTGCGTTCGGGGCATTTTTCGTCATTGTGTCTTCGTGGTGTTGTTTCGAGCACTATTCCGGTACCCGTTGCCCAGTTGGGTTCCTGCAGTATAGTTATAGTACACAAGACCGAATACTTCGCCATGGATAACGCGGCTGCAGGTGCTCTGCGCTGCCCAATGACATATCGTTGTGGTAAGCGTACCTTTTGTTCTCCTGTCGAGGTTGGGTATCGGTTGCTGCTCAGACGGGTAGCTTCTTCATTTCCGCAGGTACTATCCCGGCAGTACCGGGTATGCTACATAGCTCTATTAACAATCTCCTCCTATACTTTGCTTTGTGTGTGTCTCTCTCTCGTCTGCGGTGCTGGCAGAGTCCTGGCTATCCAGAGCCAGAGCAAGGACGCCGACGTCCAGAAGCGGGTGCTGCAGACGATGGTGATGGTCGTGACTTGGAAGAGCTGCGACATGACCGAGGACACCGTGGCACAGGTGTTTATCTCTACCCCTGCTGCTGTCCACACCGGCTGCATGGGCGATTTTTAAGACCATGCCGCCATCGCTACTCCTGTGTTTTGTTCACGTCAGTGTTCTTTGGTCCTACAAGCCATTCTACGCATGCCCTAGTTTCAAGTAGAGCCATTCTGCCGGTACTGTTCAAGTAGTTTCATGCTATTTTCTGTTGAAGACTGCACTACCGTCGCCTTGATCTGTTCAACTGCGTCACAGACTTGACGCTGCTTTTCAAGCCACATCAACCCACTCTAATGGTTGGAGAGTGCACGCCGGTAGGGAAGCGGAGGTTATGGACAGAGGTCAGAACGGATGTTGATGTGAATAGAACAACAACAACACCGGCTTACCCCAATCTCATCCGCCGACGTAGATAGGTCCCTGCGCTACGCGCTCTGATGCGACGCGACCATCTCGATGCCATGCACTCCAGAAGCCAGACAGCCAACTTGTCGCCGCGAAAACCCACGCCCACGAACAAAATCAATCGATCAGGCATTGGGCGTCTGCCTCGGGCTCCATGACGCCAAGAACGCCATGGTGCGCACCGCCGCCGACATGACGGTTCGCCAGATCATCTCGCTCCTCTTCGACCGAGTCGCCGACGAGCTTGGTGTAACCGCCGCCGCCGCCGCCGCCGCCGCTGCCGCTAATAACGCCTCTGGCAGCGGTGCCGCCGCCAACCCGGCTCAAGCCGCTGCCGGCGGCTTCGCCGTCGCCGGGGATAGGGTTATGGAGATGCGTGGTGAGGACAGCGAGGCCGGCACGGCGGAGGAGGCTGTGGTAGAAGAGGAGGACGAGGGGGGTGGGGGCGGGGCGGGGGAGGGGGCTCTGCGGTGCGCCCATCTCGTGTTTCAGGTGAAGGACGGTTTTTGTTGGGGGACAAATTGTTGAAATAATCGGTTGGGTGTGTCGCTACGGAACGAGCGGGATTGTAGGCGGGTTTGTTGTTTACGCACCGAGTGTATCGTGTACAACCACTGTTTGCGGACGTCGCGTCCGGAAAGATGAGGGGGTCGGCGACCAGGACTCGGTTGGGTGTGTGGTCGAGCTGGACAAGAAACACGGTGCTGCCGTCGGCGACAGCAGTCATGGACACCACCGTGTAGTGTGCGGTGCTAATACGAAACTCTTGTACAGTGCGGTAGGCGAGACTGTTCTGGTTGGTGGTTACAGTTTTCTTCCTCTTCGCTGTTAGACAGGGACCGCCACTACCGTTGGTGCGCGACGCCAAACTTTTTGTGATTTCAGTTTCAGCCCAACACGCCTCGCAAGTTTTCCTTGTCGTATCGTATGCACTGTACAAGTGCCGTTTAGTCCGCTGGTTTTTGTTTTTGTTGGGGTTGTGCCAGCACGAAACACAACGTAGTATGTATTATCGCGACACATGTTCCCAGCCCGCCAGACGAAACGCTGTGCACGGCCTAAACAAAGACTTTTCCGCGAACTCGCCGTGCGACCCTTCGCCTCCCGTGTTGTTTGTGGCATGTGCCGGCGCTGTGGCTGCTGGTGCTGGTGTCGATCGCCGGTGGTGCTGTCGCTCGCTGTGTCCTAAGGATCTGTGCGTGCTATCGAGGGGCGAGCAAGGCCAGTGGATCAAGCGGACCAGCGTGTCGGCTACTTTGGGGCTAGAGTTGGTGGAACAGGTGTGCTGTCACATATGGTAGTCGCTAGCATTTGGCAGCACGTGTACTGTATCTGCAACAAGCGGGAGCTTAGGTAACAGGGGGCATGTGTGTGCGCGCATCTTTGTCGTTGTGGAATACCAAGGCTCATGGCTGAAGCTACGACACAGAATACGCGTATTTTGTGTTCGAAAATTGGGGGGGGGGGGGGCACCGTTGGGGATGGAG